CTAATTGACTGCCCCGCCTCAAAGATGGCAGGGCAGTCCCCGCAGCCCCACCGGGGTGGCAGGCCTGTGGCAAGGCCGGGCCCGCCCCCCAGGCGGGCCGGTCGCTCCGTGCACCTGCCTCCGGAGTCCCCCAGTCTCCTTAGTCCCCATACCGCCCAGGGCCAGCCTGAGGCGCAGGCAAGTCTCAGATGTCGGCTGCCCAGCTGCCCAGGGCCGCCCGAGGCTCAGGGCCGGCTGAGGCTTGTGCTGCCGGCAGTGGCAGCAGCAGAGGTGTGATGGGAACGTCGCCTCCCCCTGATCTCCGGGTCGCCTCCCGCCCCTGAGGCTCCCGGTCTGTGAGAGAGGGCAAGCCTGGCTGAGGGACCCCCCTCCAGTGCATGAATTTTCATGCACCGGGCCTCTAGTTGTTTTATAAACAAATGCATGAGTTAAAATGACCACTTTGGGTCAGCCTTATCTTCCCAACTGTTTTGATCCTTTTGGGTCAGTGATTTGTAAGTCTGGATATGCGTTTGAATTATCGGTGGAAGTTATTTAAAAATAGTGAGTTAGGATTAGTGGAGATTGGAGTCCAGGCATTTTAGAAAAAGGCAGTGCTCCCAGATGACTCTGTGGCATAGTCAGGATTGAGGTTGCTTCAGCGAGCACCCCATTTCCTGAACATGCTGACAACAAGGTCAGAGGGAGGCTATTGTGAGGTTCTTTAACCTGGTAGTAAGTCACAGTTCTTTCATTCTGATGTTTGGGGAGCCATGCTGTTCTGTAAGTAGGATCTAGTCACTGCAGAGATGAATAGTACTAGAATGTCTATTTTAAAGGATAGTATACTGTTTCTATTTTGGTTACATATAATATTGTCTAGTTTTATCTCAAGATCATCTTCAGTAAATTATTTTGCAGAGTCTGTGCATATTTAAATAAATAACTGAAATTATTTTAGATACCAGTTAAATTGACCTGATAATATATTGAACAGATGAGAATTTTCATTCATCCCGATACAGAAAAGTACTTACTCTGAAGTTTTATACTGTGTTCTCTGTATGCTATATGCCATATATAAAAAGAGTAAAATGCTATGGAAGCTATAGAATATCTTAAAAGAGATCAATTTTATTGTTTCAGACATATTTTAATTTGGTTAAGCAAGCATTGTTATAAATAACAGATAAGACTTCAGTTGGGATATTTTAATTTAAGTGGATGATACTTGGAATATTGGAAGAGTCTTAGAAACAGTCCTTTTTAGAACTTAGATCTTTTTTTCTTTCTCATACTGTTGATTTCTATAGAACCCAAGGGCACCTTTCATTTGTATATTTCATTGTGCAGATAAATAGGAGTCTGCATTTATGAGATTTTTCTATTTTTAAAAGCAAAATTTATAGGCCTTCTACCACTTAAAAAATTTTTTTTTAGGAAGGGACCGATGTTTGTTTTTCATGTTATTGAGACAGTCATCCCTAGCAAAAAATTATCATTTTAAAGAAGGAAGCATTAAAAAAAATTTTTTATTTAAAAAAAAAAATCTGTTTTGCAGCTTATTCTTGCCGGAGCTCTCCGGATTGCTGACAGAGTGGAATCAGGAAAGACGTCGGTGGTGGTGCACTGCAGCGATGGCTGGGACCGCACCGCCCAACTGACGTCCCTGGCCATGCTCATGCTGGACGGGTACTACCGAACCATCCGCGGATTCGAAGTCCTCGTGGAGAAAGAATGGCTGAGCTTTGGACATCGATTTCAGCTTGTGAGTAAAGAACCTTGAATCGATGTATTCCATGCATCCCACATCAGGCGTGTGAAAATAATGCCTTCTATTCATTAGCTATTCATCTAGAATCGATCATTTATTCTAGAGGGGTAAGCTTCTCAGGAGAACTTTTTGTTTTGGAAAGCATTAGTGTCTTCCGTCCAGGCTTTGCAGCCTGAGCCAGGCCTAGCTATTTTATTTGTCAGGCCCCTGACCCAGTCTCTTCTGTCATCTCTACCAGGAAATGTCAGGTGCTGTTTGCTCCAAGGCACTTGGAGCAAACAGCAATACTAATACTGATTTCCATGGGCTTCTCCTGTCCTCCTGCAGTTGATAGTTCAGATTAGCAAGAATGATTGTGGAATTACAAGGCACTTGTAGCTTTTCCTGTAGACTTAAAAAAAGATTAGAATGGCTGAATTTTATTCCCAACTTAAAGGAGCCCTACAAAGTAGCATTGCTCACACAAGATCAGGGTCTAAAAATACTGGGCTGGAAGAAAAAAAGTAAAATGTAACTCAGAGTTGGGAATAAAACAACTTTCCTGTTACCCTTTTTAAGGCACTAACACTTGGCCAGTGTTGCAGCCCTGGCCAAGTAGCTCAGTTGGTTAGAGCGTCATCCCGATACGGGCTCCATCTTTGATCCCCGGTCAGAGTACATACAACAAGTGACCAGTGAATGAATCAATAAGTGGAACAACAAATTGATGTATCTCTTTCTCTCTCTTCCTAAAAATCAGTTAATTAAAGTGTTGCAGTTAGTTTTATGGAAATGACAAATTTTTGTGCCTTCTATAAGTCTCAAAATTTATGTTGATGTTATCGTTGGTATCAAATTTAAGAGTCAGAAGGAAGTCAGAGCCCAGCAGTTGTTGAACACCTGTGGTGTCCCACAGTGACTGTTTGGTGTCCTCATTGACACCACAGGGAAAAAGCCGCAGTCTCTCCCCAAGGCTGTCAGTCTCCCCCTGGAAAGTCTACCTATTCGAAACCTCTTCCTCGTAGGGAACTAAAATCTGCTTCCCAGTGTTTCTACATTCCCCTTTGGAGACAAGAAGAACAAATATAACTACTTGTTCATATAAGATAGCCCTTCAGATATTAGGAAGTAGCTGTCAGCTCATGTCATTTATAGTCGTCAGTTCTTCTGGCTAGCCATCCACTTTCCTCTCTTGTCCTAGCTCCTCCCTCCTAGTTATCCTCGGGACCTTTCTGCAGGTGGGCAGCCAGAACTAATCACAGTTCCTAAATATACAAATGGGTGTATTATGTCCCTTTCACATGTGCTTTTTTGTTACATCACACTTTGGATTGTGTAGCTTTTACATAAATACACATTTAAGTAGTTTCTGCTAAACACTAAATTTGGAATCAGAAAACTTGGTTCTTATGTAATGTCTATTTGTGTTAGTTGCAATCATAGAATTTGGAGAGTGAGAAGGAGTAATATTTTCACACAAAGTAGGAGCAGAGTGAGCACATGTCTAGAGAGTTGAGCGTGGCAAGAGTAGCGATGAGGGAGGGTCAGGTTTAGAGATTCTTGGCCAAGGGAGGAGTTAGTGTGTCAGGGACCATAAAACCACTGAGAGTGTGGCTCGTGGCAGCATTTTCCTAGATCAGCTGAAAGGCTTTGTGAAAGAGGTCTACCCAGACGCTGTCTCTAATGTTAACCTTTAGTGTCCAGGAGTTGCCGGGGTATGTGGGCATTGTTTATAAATGGCTTGAGAAAAACAGACATTTAATGGTAAGTCTGCTCTTTTGAACTTCAACTGTGAGTATCTATTCAGATGGCTCACATTTTTCAATTCTCTATAAAATGAAAAGACTATTTAAAAATAAAACACAAAAAAACTTACTTCAAAGAATAAAGTTTTAGTCAGCCAAAGCTGCACATGTTATATAAATGTGACCAAAATCATAAACATAGCAAACTGTTTGAAATTGCTATGGATTCCTAAATTGTCAGCTCTGGTTTTCTACTCCATTTACCCCAGGTGTTAGGTGAAAGCAAAATTTGACCAATAAAGGACATCTGGTCAAGATGCTGTGCTCACACATGGTTAATACAGGGCACTGATTCTCATACTTGTTGATTTCAAGACCTTTCATTCTTGACAATTATTGATGACCCCAGAGAACTTTGCTTACATGGTTTATGACTATCAGAATTTACCATATTAGAAATTAAATTGAATACTAATTAAATACTAATTAAAGAAATAAATCTATTTGTCTTAGTCCATTTGGACTGTTATAATACCATAGACCAGTGGTTCTCAACCTTCCTAACACCACGACCCTTTAATACAGTTCCTCATGTTGTGGTGACCCCAATCATAAAATTATTTTCGTTGCTACTTCATAACTGTCATTTTGCTACTGTTATGAATCATAATGTAAATATCTGATATGCAGGATGTATTTTCATTTGTTACAAAATGAACATAATTAAAAGCATAGTGATTAATCACAAAACATATGTAATATATATGTGTTTTCCGATGGTCTTCCAGCTTCCTCCGAACCTGATTCTGCTTCTTGAGTGTGTCCCTTATGGGTGCGAGGAGTTGAAATCTGCAGTTTGTTGGGTTAAGCTGCAAAAGCGCAGGTGGTTTCCTTTTTGTTCCACTGGCACAGCTTGGGCGGGGATGTAAATTGAGTAGGGCGGGGTCTCAGAATCACCAGGGTGGAGCAAACAGCAATGGCGTCTCCACAACTCCTCGCCACTCTGCGACTCTGCGTCTCCGCATCCCCGAGTGCCGGCGAGCAGCTCTGTGAGAAAGCCACTCTCGCTTTCCCACCCGCTGCAAGGCTGTCCTGCCTCTCCCTGTAGGGGTCTGGGACCTCAGAATCCCGCCCCAAACAAGCTCAGTGGATTCGAGAGTTTGTAACCCCTTTCGATTGAAAAAAACCGTGCATCCAGTTGCAGCCTGCCTGGCCTGCGACTCTGTACCTCTGTTCTTGGCGCCTCTGCACCTCCTACTCAGTCTCAGTGCGCTTCTTTCTTTCCTTCCAGTTGTAGAACTTCCACTGGGCCAGCTTTCCCATGGTTCTGAATGATAGCTGTTTTGTCTTATAGTTGGTATTTTCAATGTTGTTGTGGGAGGCAGCACACACAGGTCTGTACCTTACGCCGCCATCTTGGTTCTTCCAATGCATTTCTTTATATAATCCCATAAACCACAGCTGTTAATACCACCACTGATTTTATTGGAAGTCTTTAAGTATTATCAAACTTATGTGGCAGGTAAAAGTTTTCCAAAAACCTAATTTTCACTCAAAAGCTTGAATTTTATCATTGGCAACAAATACTATCCATTGTATTCCTTGAAGTGAAACAGTCACTTTGTACATTTTCAAAAAGTCTGCAAGATAGTCAAGTCTTCGTAACCATAGTTCACTTATCAATTGTTCTTTCAAGTCAGAACGATGTTCTGTGAAAAAGTGTCAGTTCCTATCGTTCTACTTAAGTTTACAGCAGAAGCGCATCATGTGCATTTCCCATTTGTTACACAGAATAGTAAAAAAAATACATTTAATAATGTTAATACTTTTTACTGCTTCAAGGAAACTGCTCCAGAAATTGGCTTTAGTCCCTTTCATTTAAGTGCATGTGTGTGGCAGGGCAGGATGTAACCACAGTGCAGCTTGATTTCACTGCCTTGCTTGATTCCTCCTAAGGTACCAAAAAGTTTGGTCCTTCATCACTTTTGCACCATGAGTGCAAACGTCAATGAATTAAAAAAGGCAGATGACATTTTAGGATTATGAAATTAGTTTGACCTCACAGTCCCCCCCCATCCCCAGAAGTCTAGGGATCATATTTTTAGAATCAATGGCTTTAAGATAGGGAACAGGGGTCTGTTTCAGTCATCTGGGGCACAGGTGCTCAGAGAAAGAAAAAACAGAACCTGGGTGAGTGCATGCTTGGAGGGTAGAAGTCAAGCATTTTTTAAAGGTTTATGAAGGTTTGTGCTAATGTTGATTCTTCTTGATAAAGAGACTGGAGCTAAGATGCAACAGGTCCCCTTCATGCACTGGCCAAGGTGTTAGAGGAGAAGGGTACTTTATATAACAACATAATATTCTGGGGGAAATTAGATCTCCAGAACAAAAATCTGGGCTCTGAGGTCTGACTACTCCAATCTTCCATTGTCAGCCTTTTAGGTCTGGGTTTCATTTATTATTATTATTTTTAGAGAGAGGGGAAGGGAGAGGGAGAAAAGAAACATTGGTGTGAGAGTGAACATCGATAAGCTGCTCACCCCCCCACCCGCCCCCACTTATTACTGGGGATGGAGCTCACAATCCTGGCATGTGCCCTGGCCGGTGTGGCTCAGCTAGTTGGGCATCGTCCTATGCACTGAAATGTTGTCAGTTCAATTGCCTAGGTTTCATTTATTAAAGTTGTAATTCCTGTTAAAAGCATCACATGTTAAACCTGGCAGTTTTGCACATAAAAATGTTTTCTTTTTTTCTTTTTATTGAATTTTTTGGGGTGATACTTGTTAGCAAAGCATATACAGTATGTGTGTGTGTGTATGTGTATATATATATGTATGTATATATATATATATATCCCACGTTCAAAGGCTGTTAAGTCACGTTGTTTACCCATATCTTCAGAAAAAAATCACTTCTGTCGTGGTAAACAACCTGCTTCCCTATTTATAATGGTCTGGCCCTCTAGCACCTTCAGTGCGAAATTATAGCTGATTTGCCTACTAACGTCAGGTGGTCATAATCTGGCCATTCAGTGTAGGTTTCAGGTGCACGAGTCTACTGTATGGACATTTCATAGGTAGGGTGATGGTGATGGCTATTTTCTTTGCTATGCTCTTTTAAAAAGATTTTCTGGCGTTTAAAAAATATTGACAAAATAGTATTTTTATTGGAAATTTATTTTCATTAAAAAAATGAAAAACTCCACAAAGTTCACATGCTATTTCACTGTCTTTCTTCAGAGACTTGGGCATGGAGATAAGAATCATGCAGATGCAGATAGATCGCCTGTTTTTCTTCAGTTCATCGACTGTGTCTGGCAAATGACAAGACAGGTAACTTATCTATATCCATTCTTACATCCCGTTTTTAAGCCTTCCAGTTGGAGTTAGGAGATTTGGTCACTGATTTTCCTATATTTCATGTAAAATGAAAATTCTTGTAAGGTTTTTAGGTAACATAACTATTACCTAAACTATTACCTAAACTATTATCATGTTGTGAATTAAGCTAAAGAATATTATTTGGGAGTATTAAACACTTGACAATTTGATTCTATCAGCATTTCAGTGAGTGGCTCCGTAATAACCCAAGAGGTTTCCTCCTCTATAGATAATTAGTAACATCATGCAGCATGTTCACCCAAAAGCTCATCTGCATATTGTTAAAAAGGTAAAGAAATGAAGAAACAGGCAAGTAAATTTAATGAAAAATGGGTTGGGTGGGAAATGATGGCAAGATAGGTATATAATAGATTCTTTATTTTTCTTAGGTATGGAGAGATTGTTTTTTTAGAGCTTCTACCAACTTTCTAATAAACCAATGTGAAATCTAGTGTAAATGGTTTGCTATATTTAGATAGCCCAAAAGAGAAAAAAATCTGGTTAATTATGGGATCATCCCCTAATGAGGCAAGGGTTTGGGTCATAAAAATATTTAACTCTACTTAAGAAAAATCATCTCAAAACCCCAAAGTTGGATACAGCTCATTGGTATGTCAGTTAACTATCACCCAAGGGTTTATTAGACGTCAGCTGGGAGTCTGGTTTGTTTTAGTTAGATTCTCATGTGAATATAAGGTAGGAAAATTGCTGGCTCTGCTCTGCTTTAGGGTCACATTTTAGCTTCAAGAAAATACTATTTAAAAGAAGTGGTGATCCTTAGGAAAAAATACACCAATTACAGTGTATATTGAAGTTTGTTTCTTCCCATAAGAATTTCAATTTGGGTGGATTATTTGGAAACTTGCTGGGTTAAACTGTGTTGTAGATATGACTACAGTATGAAGAGGCTGGTATTTTCACACATATACTACAAATGTGTATACAATTCGGTTTTGTTCTATGCATCAGGTTCTCATATGTTGTGGGAGGGGAGATGCTACATACTTATTTTAATGTTCACTACTTCTTAGAGCAGGTGAGAAATTTTCCTTTGGAATTGCCTTTGAGGTAGTATATCAGCTATACAAATCCTTACCAATCCTTTTTTAGGTTTTGACTAAAAATAATAGGATCCACTTTAAAAAAACAAAACATCCATGTGAGAGAGACACATTGATTGGTTGCCTCCTACATGTACCCCGACAGGGGCTGGGGATTGAGCCTGCAACTGAGATACGTGCCCTTGACTGGAATAAAACCCAGGACCCTTAAGTCCAAGGGCAGACTCACTATCTACTGAGCCAAACTGACCAGGGCAGGACCCATTTTTGGCCATTACCATATTCAGTTTCTAAATAGCATTTGGCTGTTGGCAAAAATCAAATGCCCTATCAACAGACTAGGAAGGTTGTGTGAAGCTGTGGCATCATTGATGCTTATATGGACTGCTTCCCAAGGGGACTATCTTAAAGGGGCAACGTAAGTGAATATATTAGTTCTGGTATGCTTGTTAAAAAAAAATCAAAGTTACCAGTTGTTTACATGGCAGAGTATATGACTAGTACATGTCTTCTTTAGTAGCTGTGTTAACTTTCTATATGCTATATACCTAAAAGCAGTCTTACTTCAATGCTGAGCTAAAGGTACTATAAAGTAGAAAATCAGTTTAATCTTGTTTCTTAGATAATCTAAAATACATTATAGAAGTGATGATTCTTTAGACATCTAGTTATGTTTTATGTACATTTTCTTCCTGAACATAAAATGTTACAATGTTTATTGGTAATCTTCAATTTTACAAATAATTGCTTGTTTGTTCAGAGATTTAAATAACACATTTGTCAAAATGAGAATCATGTTGTAGTTAACCAGATTCCACCTCTGTTCCTACTCGCATCTTCAGGAAGCAGTGGATAAAGGGCCCTTGAGATTTTAAATATGCAAGGAGAACAAAATATTCCTCTTCTGTTTAAGATTTTAAAAGCAGTGCCAGCAGTTAATGCTCTGCTATTTTAGTGTTGTTGTGAGGAAATGCCCACTGATTAAGATGTCTTCTCATAACTGAGCTAAAAGCCCTGCCAAGAAGAGCTACCCACAGGCTCAGCTCTTCTGGATTGCTATTTCATGAGTCAGAGTACACGCATAGTTGGCTAATAAATAAGGCTAAGAGTGTTAATCAGGTGATGGGATTTATTTTGTAAATAAATGGGATTTGACCAAGTTTCTTAAAATACTTGGCTTTTTGTTGGCATGTGCTTGATCACCTGCTGCATTCATTCAGTTCCATAGCCACAACATGGAGTTATCATTTATTCTTTGAGGAATCTGCTATATTACCCTGCTTATGGCTTCCTAAAATTTAGGAAATTTTAAGGTAAAGTTGTTTTTAACCCTGTCCCTTTTGCTTACAGTTCATGCTATTTTCCTTCACTACTGGGTAGGAATCATTCTAAAAAAACTTACTTGAATATTTCCCAACTCTGCAATCTAAATGTTCATGGAATTCCTTTTCAGTTGTGTAATTGGTACAATCTTACATGGAAACTTTGGGATAATTTTGAACCATTACATTGACAGGATGGATTAAACTAAATCCTTTACCTTCCTGTGGCCTGTAATTTGTCCTTGATAAATTCCCCACAGATTGTGGTGTTTGTATAATATTAAGACATCCAGTAGGCCGCTGCCGTTAGGTTATGGAGAAAGTGAATTTTCTTTTTAATTAGAAAGAGGCTGCCAAAGTCCTGGGTTACACAATACTCCCATTTGCCTGGCTGCTCCTTGAAAAGATGAGCAGGTTCGCTTTAAATGATCTGCACATCTGCCTGGGGCAGTTATTTGTGTGCATTGCTGACATTTTTTTGGAGACATTGATGCTATTTTTTTGTAATTTCTAAAACAAAACAATGTTTTTGAAATTTAAAGAAAAATCTTATGTTGTTTATGGTCACTTTTGGCAGAGAAAGATTAGACTTTCCTGAACTGCCCAGGTCAAAATTCCTCAGCTTGTGGGGCTAGCAGATGTAGATCAGAAACATCAAGGTCAGACCATTCAAATTCTTGATGCATAAGAAAAGATTTTGGAGAAATAATCTTAGAACTAAATAGTAAAGTGATTTTTGAACAGAAAACCAAGCGGATGCCATAATGACTTAGAAATATAGTTTTGAATATTGTTTAGCCTACTTTTAAATATTATAAAGGATCTACTCATATACTACAGGATGAATATGCTTGAAAAAAATGTCTTAATAGTTTTGTGTTTGTGGTGTTTGATTTGCAGTTTCCTACAGCATTTGAATTCAATGAATATTTTCTCATTACCATTTTGGACCACCTGTATAGCTGTTTATTCGGAACATTCCTTTGTAACAGTGAACAGCAGAGAGTAAAAGAGGTAAAATAATGAGCCCCTGTCCTGGTCTATCCTCAACATGTATTTTCCCTACTAGAGTGTATGTTGTGATGGATTGCAACTGAATAGTTGTTGTTTTGAATCATTTCTTTGGCCATACTTTATTATGATTCCTTCTTCCCAAACTTCTGATCTACTAGTATTTTAAAGTACCTCTGTTGCAATGCTAAAGTGCCAGCTGCCAGGTGAGTTATGGGTGGGAAGTAGTGTCTGCTAAGGAGCACCAGTGTACCTGTTATCCTTGCAGGATGGAAATCCTTCAGAACAGGTGCAGTACATATAATTGGTAATATATGATAAGACATACATTTAAATAAATGGATAGCTCAAATCTGAAAATATATTGTTCATGAGACATTTTAGTTTTTAAAATCGTAAAATAATACTGTAAAACATTCAAACACTGAAAAGATACTGTGTGTAAAGTTATTTTGTTACCCCATTTAGCCAAAGATATTACTGGTGGTTGGTATTATTTACAACAAACCATATAAGGATTACTTCTGTATGAAATTCTTAATCCTACTGATCATTGTATCTCCCTGCATCAATTTTCATTTTAAAAAAAGTGGTTATAAAATAGATTTTCCATGCTTTTCTATAAAGCAGTAGTGGGGAACCTTTTTTTCTGCCAAGAGCCATTTGGATATTTATAACATCATTCTTGGGCCATACAGAGTGGGGAGTTGCTTGCTTTGAGCCAGGCTGCCTGATTCAGACCTTGGATTTTTCACTTACTGTGTGACTTCCAGCAAGTTAATTTCTGCTTCTGTAAAATAGGGGTAATAGTACTTATTGGTGTGAGGATTACACCATACAAAACTCTACAATCATTGCTATGTAGTAAGTGCTTCCTGGACTATATTTTTAATTCACCATACTATCTTCAGTGTCTACTAACACACAGTAAATAATTGCCTGCATAGTAGACACTCAAGAATTGGTTAAATATTAAATAATTCAGAATAGCTAAGTTCCAAAATACTTTCAATTTTTGAGCCTTGAATAGGATTTACTATATCTTGATATTTAAAAAAGGAACATTTTTACTGAGGTATAATTTGCATTCCACAAAATTCACTCTCTTAAAAAGTATATAGTTTATTATAAGCATGTCAGCAGGCATGAGTTTGACATGCTTGGTTTAGTGGTTTTTAAGGTATCTAGAGTTGTACAAACATCAGCACTATGTTCACAACATTGGAAAGAAACTGTGTACCTATTAGTAGTTACTCTCCATTCTCCTTCCCTCCCAGCCCCTGGCAAACCTTAATCTGTCTCTGTGGATTTGCCCCTTCAGGACATTTCATGGAAATGGAGTTATTCAGGATATGGCCTCAGTGTCTGGCTTCTTTCACGTAGCATAAGGTTTGATTTGTAGCAGTTATCAATACTTCATACCTTTTTATGGATGAACGTTCCATTGTATAACTATTTTGTCCATTTGTCAGTTGATAGACGTTTGGATTTCTACTTTTTGGCTATTATAAGAAATGCTGCTTTGAACATCTATGTACAGAATTTTATGTGCCTGTTTTCAGTTCTCTTGGGTATAAACCTAAGAGTAGAATTATGGGCACAGTAACTCTATGTTTACCTTTTTGAGGAACTGCACTGTTTCCCAATACCCTCTGAATTTAATGTAAGTGGGGATGTCACTGAAGTGTCAAAGTGATCACAACATACCTCTTTATAACTTTCATCTGAAGTACAAAGAGCTTACGTGATGAATCTCGACTTTTCCTTTTTACAGAACCTTCCTAAAAGGACAGTGTCACTGTGGTCCTACATAAACAGCCAGCTGGAAGACTTCACTAATCCTCTCTATGGGAGCTACTCCAATCACGTCCTTTATCCAGTAGCCAGCATGCGCCACCTAGAGCTCTGGGTGGGATATTACGTGAGGTGGAATCCATGTATGAAACCACAGGTATGCTGTACAATACACAGCAGGAGTTTTCATCCATGCAATTGTATATTAACTAGAAAAAGTATGTGCATATTTAGAACTTTTCCCTTTCCTGGTTAATAGTTACAACTGTATAGTAGAAAAAGCACTCCACAGGGGTATCATTCCTGACTTCGATTGGATTACTTTGGAAATAACACTTCTATTTTGTCCTTTCTCCCCTGTACAGTGAAGGTATCAGACTGGATAACTTCTAGAGGCCTTTCTTAATTAGGTTAGAGAAATAGGAAATTTTGGTTCAGTTTGAAATATGGACTATTTACTTCTAAACTCTTCAAAAGACTAAAAACCTTAACCTAAACTATAGGAAATACTTGACATTGGCTTTTAGATTGTATTGTTAATTATTTGTTATATTTGGAAAATTGCCAGTTTTAGAGTATTCTGTGGAAATACTTAGGGGCACTGGGAAAGCCAGAGGAAGAGCAGTGGTGCTAGAAAAAGCCCCACATTGTAACATTTAGGGACAGAACTACATACCAGAGTGTGACTTTGGGTTTGTTTAGAACTGCCTAGTTGGAATAATTTTGTGGTGTTTTGCTTTTATAGGAGCCCATTCACAATAGATACAAAGAACTTCTTGCTAAACGAGCAGAACTTCAGAAAAAAGTAGAGGAACTACAGAGAGAGATCTCCAACCGATCAACCTCATCCTCAGAGAGAGCCAGTTCTCCTGCACAGTGTGTCACTCCTGTCCAGACAGTGGTGTGAAAGGATCGTTAGCTGGAGCCATCACCACCACAAACTCCTGATTACAAATGGCAGCTCTGAGTAAAGTCTCCTGAACTTAGAACCCATCTGTGAGAGAAAGTCAGTCCTTTATTTATTTAAATCCGAGTTCAGAACTGTAGCAGTGCAGGGGGCTTAAGTGAAATAACCGCATATATAACTACATGATCATAACACTAATATTAAGTTACCCAAAGAATATTAAAATGCTTCAATCCTAAATCTACAGTGGGAATAAGTTTGATTTTAAAAGGAAAATGCTCTTATAAATTTTGGTGTCTGGTAAAATCAAAATACAAACCACTTCAAAAATATAACTCATGATGGAAGAGAGCTCATTGCACAGAGGAGGAGGAGGAGCATCACTTTTCAAACCAACACTGAAATTCCATGGCATTATATACACTGTAATCTCATGACAGATCAAATCGGACACACCTTTCCCCATCCTGCGTTTTCTTTTTTTTTTTTTTTCGTGGTAATTGATCTACTTTGGTCACCCACATTCTTCATACATGATAAGGCAAAGTCTTGAAGATATTATGGTGTAGTTGAAAATTTTGTGGTCATTATTTATGTACTTATTTAAGATGCATTATTGAGTAGCTGTCCAGGGTTTCAAAGAATTCCACATCCTTCAGATTAGTTTCCACTTGACCAATTACTAGAAATAACATTTAAAAGCTCATTATCTCCCTACTTTAGATTTTTTTGGTGTATCTGAGCACAGAATTGCTAAATTTTGAGGCAATATTTTAAAGTTTACCAGGATTGATTTTTTTCTGAAATCTATAAATTGCTTATGATAAGCATTATGCTCAAATTTTACATGAAATATTTTACTACTGTCCTTTGTAAAGTCTGTACTTCCACTGAATGATAAAGTCTACCAAAGAACTTACTGCATGTAAAAATATATTACAATCTGAAAGCCAGAAAAGGAACTCCCGCTTCACTGTGCACCTGCTGTAGCAGGAGTTCAGTGCTGGTATAAACGTGGACTCCTTGATGCCTGTGTTACTCTAAAAGAGCCATAGGTTATGTACTGTAACAAAGGAGCTTCTTGGCTCTTGGGTCTTTAAATAAAAGTAAATTTCAACTGACTTTTAAACTTTGTCCTTATCCTAGTTATTTACCTTGTTTCTTTTGCAGAAATGTTATTTGGATTTTTTTTTTTTTTTGAGGAAAGTGGTATGCTCCTTGCATCTGTTTCAAAATGAACCTTAGCCCTGCTCTGCCTGTCTATGCAAAATTTTGTCATTATGTGTAATTTCTTAAGGAAATTTATAATCAGGAGTTAAGTGGCTGGTCTATCAGTATTAAAGCTGAGTTTTCTATTCCAAGTATTTTATACACCCATTCTCTCCTGTCCATTCTACCATTCTCCTCATTTAAGCTTTTATTATCTTGGTCTGATATGTAGACGACTGCACTGCACACCAGGACACCCAAGAGTTCATCACCAGTACATCCCAAAGGGGGTCAACTGGACCGAGGAGGAGGCTAGAGCCACGGAAGCTGCAGAGGTGGTGGAAAGTAAGAGATGAGGGAAAGACTCCTGAGCCATCTGGACTGTAGCTAAGGGTCCCATTGCTCTTCACCAACATCCACCTGAGACCTCTCTGACTGGGGAAGGGGACTGAAAAGGAAAGAAGAGAAGACAAAGAGCTGAAGGTACACGTTTCCTGCTGACTTCCCCAGGATTCCAGCAAGAGGCCTGCCTCTGGACTAACTCGAGGATCCTCCTACTGGGCTGTGGGCCGAGTCAAAGCCATGACCATGCTAAGCACACACCTCCTCCCCTTCTGCCACCAGCCTGTTTTAGGAAAAGTCACCTTTTTTATGCACGCATTTTCAACTTTATCAGCAAGTCGGCTCCAATAAGATAAAAACTTATGTTAGAGCACCACCTTCTGGAAACTGAACTTCTAATTGTCAATCTGTTGAACTGTTAGAATCAAAGCAGATGCATGAAGCCTTATCTAAATAAGAAAGATGTTCACTACCCAAAGGTGGCAGCAGAGGCACACTTGTCAAAACTTATGAAAAATCGTGGCAATATATCACAAAATGAAAAAACTCCAGCAAACAAAACCAATGACACAGCATACTGTGGTCCAACTGGTAAAGAATTCAAAATATGATGAAATTCAACAAGCTAAAAGAAACTCAGAAAGGCAATTCAATAAACTCAAGAATAAAATTTGTGAACCTAAGAAGTATTTTACCAAGAGACTGAAATTCTAAATAAAATCTGGAGTTGGTGAACTCAATAAATGAGATAAAGAATGCATCAGAAAGCACTGCAAATAGAAATCAGAGGGATGAGAAAATAAAGGAATTTAGAAATTATTCAGGTGAAAAAGGAGAACTGAAATTTTTAAAAAGTGAAGAAACCTTACAAGAATCATCAGACTCCATTAGAAAAGCCAACACAAGATTATTGGGTAAGGAAGGAACACTTCCAAACTCTTCTGTGAGGCCAGCATTACCTTAATTTCAATACCAGATAAAGACACTACAAAGAAAATGAATTACAGGCCAATATCCCTAATGAATGTAGACGCTAAAATCCTCAACAAAATGTTAGGAAATCAGATCCAGCAATACATTTGAAAGATCATATATCATGACCAAGTGGGATATATTTTGGGGATTCAAGCTTGATACAATATTTGCAAATCAATAAATGTGATACAGCACAAACAAAATGCAAGACACAAATCACGTGATCATATCAATCAATGCAGAAAAAGCATTCCACAAAATCCAACATCTTTTTTTGATAAAAACATTCAGCAAAGTGGGAATAGAGGGATCATACCTCAACATAGTAAAGGCCATATTAGGACAAACCCTACATCCAACATCATAATGAGCAAAACTAAAACCATCTTCCCTAAGAACAGGAACAAGATAGGGATGCCCTCTTTCGCCACTCTTGTTCAACATAGTTCTGGAAGTCCTGGCCATAGTAATCAGAAAAAAAGAATAAAAAATACATCCAAATTAGAAAAGAGGAAGTAAAACTCATCTGCAGATGACACGATACTGTACATAGAAAACTCCTAAAAGACTCCCATCAGAAAACTACTGGATTTAATAAATGGATTCAGAAACATAGGATACAAAATGAACACCCAAAAATTCATAGCATTTTTTTACACCAATAATGAACTCTCAGAATGAATAAAACAATCCCAAATACCATTGCAACAAAAAAATTAAGATACTTAGGAATAAACTTAACCAAGGAGGTAAAAGACCTGTACTCTGAAAACTACAGGATGTTTAAAAAAGAGACAAGAGAGATATATAAAAAAGTGGAAGGATATACCATATTCATGGATCAGTAGAATCAACATCATTAAAATGTCCATACTACCCAAAGCAACCTACAGATTCAATGCAATCCCTATTAAATGCCAACGGCATTTTTCACAGACCTAGAACAAACACTCCAAAAATGTATATAGAATCAAAAAAGATCCCGAATAGCTGCAGCAATCTAGAGAAAGAAGAACAAAGTTGGAGGAATCACAATACCAGATTTCAAGTTATACTACAAAGCCACTGTGCTCAAAACAGCCTGGCACTGGCACAAGAACAGGCATATAGACCAATTGGAACAAAACAGAATCCAGAAATCAACTCAAGCGATTATGCTCAATATTTGACAAAGGAGGCAGGAGCATACAATGGAGAAGAGAGAGTCTCTTCAATAAAAGGTGTGGAGAAAATTGGACAGGTACATGCAAAAAATTACACCACCAACATACAGCATACAGAAGAATAAACTAAAAATGAATATGAGACTTAAATGTAAGATGTGAAACCATAAAAGTCCTAGAAAGGCAACAAAATCTCAGACATCTCTCATAGCAGTATGTTTAGGGATACATCTCCTAGGACTATGGAAACAGGAGAAAATAAACAAATGGGATTACATCAAAATAAAAGCTCTGCACAGCAAAAGAAACCATCAACAAAATAATAAGAGCCTACTGCATGGAAGAACATTATTGCCAATGATACATCAGATAAGGGGTTAATCTCCAAAATATATAGGGAATTCATACAACTTAACAAAAGGAAGACAATCCAATTAAAAACTGGGGAAAGGACCTAAATAGACATTTCTCCAACGTGGGCATACAGAAAGCCAAGAGTCACATAAAAAAATGCTCAAAGTCAGTAATCAGAGAGATGCAATTCAAAATGACAATGAGGTATTGCCTCACACCTGTCAGAATGGTTATCATCAACAAATCAACAAGTGTTGGTGAGGTGGAGAAAGGAAACCCTAGTATACTGCTGGTGGGAATGCAGACTGGTGCAGCCACTAGGGAAAACACTATGAAGTTTCCTCGAAAAATAAATGGAACTTCCATTTGACCCAGTAATTGCACTTTTAGTAATATATCCTAAGAAACCCAAAACACTCATCAGAAAGAATATATGCACCCCTATGTTCATAGCAGTACAAACAGCTAAAACTTGGAAATAGCCTAAGTGCCCATCAGCAGATGAGTGGATAATAAAACTATGGTACATTTACACAATGAAATACTACTCGGCAATGAAAGAAAGAAGTCTTACCATTTGCAACAGCATGGATGGACCTGGAGAGTATTATGCTGAGCAAAAGAAGCCAGTCAGAGAAAGACAAGTATCACATGATCTCACTCACATGTAGAATCTAATGAACTAAACAAACTGATGATCAAAAATAGACCCAGAGTCATAGAAGCATGAACACATTGTTGAACCTCAGAGGAAAGGCAGGGGAGGATGGGTGGGAAGAGATCAACCAATGAATTTGTTTGCATATATGCATAACCCGTGAACACAGACAATGGGGTA